CTAGAGAAACTATTTGGTATTTACATATGTGTGTCCTATTTATTTCACTTACGAGTATCGCCTCAATGTGGCATGATGTCAATTTAACTAAACCCAATAAGCTGATGTTGATTAAAATAAAAACTTGATTTGTATTTTACCAGTTTCTCTGCACACTCCTCTTTCTCCTTGGTGTGTAGTCCTGTGAAGTTTGAACACATGCATGTATGGCATTGTGCATTTTAAAGGAAGGGATTAAAATGACTCTCTCTGTGCTTCAGAAGAAAGATAATCCTGGCCACAGAGGCAGGCGGGGCAGAGGGAGGGGGGCACTGAAGTGAATCTCAGGCTAAGTCTGTGGTTCAGTGGAGATGGACGGCTGGTAGATCGGGGCACAGAGAGCTGGGAACAGATTCTGGGCTTTCGGGCTCAGCAAGAGGGTGGAGTTGCCAGGCTGCAGGATCAGAAGCCACTTCCTGCTGTTGTTTTGAACTCTGCACTCGTCGATGGCCTAGGGCCTGGAGTGCAGCCATGTACATTAACTCAGCTGAGGAACAATATAGGTCGCTGAGAACAGTGCATCAGGGAGGCCATCTGGGGGTGTCCCGGGAGGCTCCTGGAAGAGATGACATTGGCACTGAGATCCAGGCAGGAGTACTCAGAGCTATGTCCGATGCAGTCTCCCCAGGAATGTGCAGACGGTGCAGATTACCAGGCCCCAGCCCCACCCCGATCAGAATCAGGACCTAGAGCTGGCCCTAGCACTGTGTATCTCAGAAGGCCACCAGGTCATCCTCAGGGACACTCAGCTCTGAGAGCCACCGATCTTTAGGATGAGGAGGTACTGAGGAGGCAGAGAGGGAGAGGGAGAAGGGGTCCAGGAGAAGGTGACTGCACAGAAAAAGACAGAAGCATCTGCGTGGGAGGAGCATGTCTGAGGACCTGTGGAAGGCCAGTGAGGCGGAGGCTTAGGGACCCAGAGCAGGAGTGGATGGAGAAATAGAGGCCGAGGCTGCACCCACAGAAGCAGCAGAGCCTTGGGGGATCTGCATTTAAAAAATGAACATCCTGGCTATTGTGAGGAAGAAAGAGGGGGTGACAGTAGGGGTGTACGTAGGGTGGAGAGTGGGACAGGAAGCACACGCATGTGGTACACACACGCGCGCGCGCGCACACACACACACACACACACACACACACACACGGGCCTGCCATTGGTGTGACGCATGCGCAGGACACGCCTTACTAAAGCAAACAGCCGTCCTCCTCCAGGACCCTGCAAACTGTCCAAAGGCCTTGTGGGGCCTTTGGGTCTGCCTGGCCACACTAATCCCAGCGCGCTTTTATTTTGCAGAACTCTCCAATTCTGAAATATTTTATCGTGAAGAAAAATGAAACAAGGCAGCACCAAAGGCAACACCAAAGCCAGGTGAGCCGCGTCAGGTCCTCAGCGCCGCGTCACCCCTGTGGCTCTGACGGAGTGTGGCGAGGCCACCTCTCTGGGCACAGCCGCAGGGCTAGAGGGAAAGTCGGTAGCGGCCCTGTCCCCACTTACTGTCCCACTCGTTCATGCAACAAGCATTTGCTAAAGGCTGACGTTTGGGGCCAAATGGTCTAGGGTCCTTCTGGAAGTCATTCTAACCCTGAGTGCTACTACCAGGCCGGGATTCTTGCACCCGATCCCCGCTTCGTCCTGTAGGTGGCAGCCGCCGCCAGACTTTCAGTTCCCTGGCAGGAGCCCGGAACACTTGAAACTTTCCTCCGCTGGACCCGGACCCGGGACTTTCTTGGACCTGGGTGGCTATAAGTAGGATGTGAGAACCACTCCTTGCCACTCACCGGGGCTGTAATGGTCTCCAGCGCTTCCATTTCAAAAGGCTGAGAGCACAGCAGTCTGGGGACAGGGTCCGCTGCCTAGCAGCAGACCCGGAGTCAGGGTTTCCGACAGAGCCAAGTTGCCCCGTTTCCCTGTCTGGTCTGTGTGGCGGGGACACTGAGGTTCCCGGGCAGCTCCTGAAATGACATTTCTACATTCCCGTTGGAGAAAGCGTATTACAAACAAAACGATGGAGGCTTTCTATGTAGGATGTGTTTTCCAGGGCAGGAAGGCATTCATGCAAATATAAGCACAATTATTCCATTCTATTCAAGGCAACAGTCGTTTTCGGG